TGGTGCAGGGCGTCCATGGTGTCGCGGTTCTCCTTGTAGAGGGTGAAGTGGAGGTACTCGCCCTCGCCGGGGGCCACGGCCTTGGGCTGCTTCTTCTTCTGTTTGTTGTTCTCGCGGTTGTTGTTGTTGTCGCGGCCGCCACGCATGCCCTTGCCCTTGCCGCGAGGGGGCGGGACTCGGGCAACGATAGCGCCCGTGGGATCGGTGGTGGTGTCGATGGTGGAGCTGAAGATGCGGCGGACGTTTTGGTGGAGCTGGGAGCGCTTGTCCTTGTCGTCCATGATGGGGGATGTGACGGGCTCGGTTTTGGCCATCTTGTCAGCGGATATCGTCTTGTAGATGGTGACGAGCTGGTTGGCGAAGTCGTCGTTTGTGAGGGAGGCGAGGAGGGCAATGTCCTCAGCGGGGACTTCGGGGATGGCGGCGGCGGGCTTCTCGGCGGCTTCTCCATCTTTCAATGGCTCTTCTGGCTTCGGCTCTTCTTCTCCCTTCTTCTCTTCTACTACGGGAACAGCAGGTGCAGGAGGTGCTGGTGGAGGCGGCGTGGTCTCCTTCGGCGGCGGGGGAAGGCGAGTTTCTGTGAGGTGAAGGACGGAACCATCTTTGTTGATCTCGTAGACTTGAAAGTCGGTGTACCTGAGCGGCTGTGTTAGTCAAGAAACACTATGAAATATATAGAATGAATTACCTCTTGCGCATATCTCCAGTCCAAGCGACCATGCTCGGGGCGATGCGCTCAGTGATGCCGAGGGACGCATCAAGGCGCGTGCCGTTGGAGCGGCGGACTTCAGCCGCCATTCTGATCCGAATTGGCGTGTAACGAGGTTCGAACTGTTGTCTCGAGTAAGAAGAGATGAAACTTAGATGAATTGATGAATCTGAGTATGAGAGGATGAGATGCGGGATGAAGCTCTACCGCGGGGCCAATTGCCATATTTTCAGTAAATGCCAGCAGAAAGTGGTAGATGGGATGAAATTTGGCAGGCGGTGTACTGGAGCTCTACCAAAACTGGCTCATTTAGGAAAGCGGTCAGCCTCGCTCATCCATTCAAGCCAATTCTCGTATGAGATTCGCTCACATTCATTGCACTTAGATCTGCCATTGACGTTCACGAGTTTCTAGTTTCTTTTCATTTTATTTCAAAGCTACTTTCTCAGTACACCTTCAATCTCAAAATCTCAACCGCATTGCCGCCCATGATGGCCTTGGCCTGCTCGCTTCCCTCACCCACCGCCACTGCAACGGCATCGGCATTCATGCTCACACTCTCCCACTCGCCCTGCTCATCAGAGGTCAATGGCGGGAAGAAGGGGTGATCAGTGCCAAACATGAGTCTATCCGCTCCACTGGCATCGATGGCCGCCTTTAGCCCAACTTCTGAGTAAATGACGGCGTCGAGGTATATCTGCTCCTTGAGCACGCTCCAAATCGTCCGGCGACCCTTGCCGACTTTGCCTTCGCGCACAAGCTGCCCGTCGTGCATGATGCAGCTCTCAATTCGCCCCGCCAAGAAAGGCAGCGTGCCTCCGCTGTGCGCCAGAAGCATACGCAGCTCGGGCACGTCGTCGAAGACGCCAGCCAGGTACATGCGCGCCACGGCGATGGTGGTCTCCATCGGGAAACCCAGAGCCAGGGGCAGAACATGGCCGTACTCGTTGCTCGCCCTGGGGCCCCAGACGTCGTTGGGCAACCCGTAGTGCGGGTGCAGGAAGATGGTCAGGCGGGCGGCGGCGATGGCCTTGAAGATAGGCAGCAGGTCCGGGTCGTCGAGGCCCTTGCCGAGCCCCGAAGTCCCGAGGATGATGCCGCGGCAGTACTTGAGCGCCTTGACGTGGTTGATGGCTTCCAGGATTGTCTCGAGTGATGCCGTCAGGGGCAGCGCAGCAAAGAAGAAGAGGCGGCCTGGGTGCGCGGCGCACATGCCGTCGAACTCCTCGTTGACGCCCTTGGCCATGGCGCCAGACTCGGAGGCATCGATGAAGTCGAGCCACGGGTTCGCCAAGGAGATGACCGAGATGTCAATCTTGTGCGTGTCCATGAAGTGAACCTTTTGATCGAGCGAGGCGTAGTGAGAGGTCAGCGGCCGGCCGGGAGGCTTCGCTGAAGGATCCTTGGTAGCCTCATCGAGGGCTTGTTCCTCCGAGGCCAGGAGGATGAGGCGCGGGTCTGGTGTTTGCGGGAAGCTGCGCACGACGGGAATGGTGGTTCTAGATTCGAGGATCTTGACGTAGGACGGGGGGTACATGTGGGTGTGGACGTCCACCACCGTCATGGCTGTTGATGAGGCCATTGTGAAATCGGACGAGCAGACGACGTCCCTTTACTGCCTTGCGTCTTCACTTGGAGCTGGTATCGAGATGACCCAAAGTACAGTCGGTCTTGTTGGTTGATCTACTTGTCGTTAACCAGTGGTTCAGCTATGAGGTTTCAAAGCATGATGCTGGGTCGACTTACAAGATGAAGAGGCTTACTCGTAACTGAGATGGTGGGAGATCTCGGCTTATCTCTTCTGCGATCCAGGGATAAGAAAAGAAGCCAATCCTATTGTTATGGTCTGTTTCTAAGTTGGAAGCTTTCCCAGGAGCAAGCAAAGCGGTGTTGCCCCTCGTCTTCCTTTTAAAAAGACAAGTACCAGTTACCCGACAAACTACGTCTTTCCAGGAAGGTGATGAGGTCGCCATGACCCGCAGCGCCTGGTTCCCCCTCCAATCCATGTTCCCCTCATATGCAAGCGCCTCAATGCACCGCATACCTCACAAAACCCCACACGCGGGCGTCTCCAAAGGTAAGTAAGGTACTAAGGTAATCCTTCCCTTGTCGATTATCTTTCTACATTACCCCGCCGTTATCTCCAATCGTCCTTCCGCGTGCCGGCGTTTAACGCACCATCGGCCTCTTATCGTCAGACTTTCCTTCTCCCCCCTCCTCTCCAGTGTGAGACACTGAGGTACTGCTTACACATAAGTATAACGTGTAGGAGCTCTCCGATGAACTTCCCACTCGTGCACCCGCGGACCCAGCCGGTCTTGTTAAGGGGTTCTCTCTTGAATTTCTCCCCGTAATGCCCCGTCCTGGCCGGGGATCAACAAGGGGCAACGCCTGGCCCCGTCCGGAACTGATTAGACGGCGCCGGTGGTTGGCTGTTAACTTACGATGTTAATGCTCGGCCTCTGGTTGGCTGGGCCGCCGCCAGTCGCCCGCGACAAGGTACTTAGACACACCTACCGTATCAACGGATAGATATAAGTCGCTCGGAACCTGTACCGCACGGATTTAGTAACGAACCTTATCGTAACTTCTTGCTCGAGATTACACCTCACCCTGATACATGTGATGCTCCTAAGTCTCAACTGACCACATTCACCTCTGAAACTCTCATCCATCCCTTCTGAACACAGTGAAAAGCAACACCCAGATCATCATGGCAGCTACAGCAGTAGACAAGGAGGGTCTCTTCATCCCCGTGAGTGACATCAGTGACATACCATCATGATCGCTTCAAGCATCACCGACTGACACCAAACATCAAGCTCATCGACTTCTCAGCCTTCCTCAACGGCGACGCCGCCAAGCGCAAGGAAACAGCAAAGCAGGTCCTCGACGGTTTCCAAAACGCAGGCTTCATCTACCTCCAAAACGTCCCCATCAGCCAGGACCTCCGCGCCGCCACCTTCGCCAAATCAGCAGACTTCTTCTCCCAGTCCGACGCCGTCAAGCAGGGCCTCGGCTGGACCACCCCGCAGGCCAACCGCGGCTACTCCGCCCCCGGCCGCGAGAAGGTCAGCAACCTCACCACCAACGAGGAAATCGAAAAGGTGCGCGCCGGAAACCCGGACCTCAAGGAGTCGTTTGAGATTGGCCGCGACGGCGAGCCGGACCACCCGAACCAGTGGCCCGTCGAGCGGGACGGCGAGCGCGTTGCGGGTTTCAAGACTCAGATGCTCGAGTTCTTTGGGCAGTGCAAGGCGCTGCACGTCGAGGTGATGCGCGCCATCGCGGTGGGTATGGGGTTGGAGGACGAGCGGTTCTTTGACGGGTATACCGACGTCGGGGACAATACCCTGCGTCTGCTGCATTACCCTTCCGTCGACCCCAACGTCTTCAAGGTGAACCCGGGTCAGGTGCGCGCTGGAGAGCACAGCGATTACGGGTCGATCACGCTGCTTTTCCAGGATGATCGTGGAGGTCTGCAGGTGCGGAGCCCGAATGGGCGATTCGTGGATGCTACGCCTATTCCTGGGACGGTTGTTGTGAATGCTGGGGATTTGCTTGCGCGGTGGAGTAATGATACCATCAAGAGCACGATTCACCGCGTCGTGGAGCCGCCGCGGAAGCCGGAGGACGGGGAGGAGTATCCTCCCCGTTACAGCATTGCGTAAGTGGCCGGTTTTGTCTGTTGCCGAAGCCCTGACGTGCTAATCGTGATATATAGGTACTTTTGTAACCCCAACTTCAAGAGTCACATCGAGGCTATCCCGGGGACGTATGCCACGGAGGAGGAAAAGAAATACGATGGCATCAACAGCGGGCAGTATCTCGTGCAGAGGCTGACGGCCACGTACTAGTGCCATTAATTGAAAACGGCCATCAAAATTTGTAGTGAATGTTTAGAAGCGAATTGACCTCGATTACTCGGCTTTTGAAGCATCACATCCCGTCAGGGGCTTCCTACGATTTCATTTTGGAAAGGGGAGTCTTGGTCTCTTCGAACCGAAGTTCAGAGGCCTGCTTGGTGCATGACCTGGAACATACTCAGCATGAACATACTGTCTTCAAGGGCTCCAATCATTTTCCGGATTGGTTTTGATCAGACTGTGTACAAAAATGGCACTAATTGGGCAAAATGGGAACGGAAGGTTTGTGACTTCTAGAATAGAATGATGAAGAACGCCATTAAACTGCACAGTATCGCAACAAATCCATTTTACATAAACTAAAGAAACAACATGGCGTGACAAGAGATGCAGTCCGTAAGTACGACATGACGCTCTCTCCATAATCAGAGTTCCTCACTGTCTATTGTGTCGTCTGTCATATCGTCTCTCGTATCGTCTGTCGCATCGTCTGTCACATAGTCTGTCGCATAGTCTGTCGTAGATTCTAGTCCCAAATTCTCAGAGACCTTTTGTCCACGCCTCGCAAGTAGAATAGCCGCCATTGAGCACAACACCGAGACGAGCGGGTTAACTTTAGTCTCCTTGCGGGAATGAGGAAATAGCGTGTACATCGAGGAGGGAACCAAAACGGCAAAGTGAAGGTCGACTATTTGACCATAAAAGTCAGTCAAGTCCGGCCGTCGCGTCATCCAGAAGGACAGAAGTGCAGAGCTGGCTATACGGTGAAGGAGGTGATTCATGAGCACTAGGCCTTCACTCATGACAAGTTCCTTCCATCTGGCCGTGCGTCTTTTGCTATTTAGATACCAGGCAACGTAAGGAATCAGAAGGACGAAGGTTTCGCCCATGAGAAGCAAGGCGCGGCGGTGCAAGACATGAGCCCATTGAGATTCCATAGATGGGCGCAGATTCGTAATACTCCTGGCGATGGACGTGGCATACTGGACTAACGACTTGGTGTAAGAGATTTTGATAGAGAAAGACTCCTGATCGAGGAAATTTTCTCGTTCAATTTTAACCTGAGGGACGCCAGCTTTCAGAAAGAGTGTGTTCTTGAGTTTTGACAAGTGACGATGTTTTGCAAAGGATATCCGCCAGAACAGCAGTTCCTGCTGATTGTCTGATATGAGTTGCTCCAATTTATCTCCCTTTGGCATGGGAACGGTGTAGCAGACGAAAGGCGGAGGTTTTGGGTCGAGAGAGAAGAAGGCACAAAGCGCACTCCTTTCTTCCACGACAACAATGAACCCATACCCATCACTGCCGCTATCTTTTTTATCAATAGTAGGGATTTTCTTGTAGAGAAGGAGAATTTGTGGCCACATCTCATTGCGAGAATATTGAACACAACTCCATTCCTTCCGATAAGAATGCTCTGGCGCCACCCCAACCAAGCGTTCGGCCCCATCGTCCGAGCCTTGTATCCGGATTGTTGTGTTTGGCGACGTATTGCCCCAAGGAGATTTTCTGTTAGGCAAATGATGCTGCTTAGAATTTAAGAAGTAAACAGTCCTTTGTTGACATTTCGTCACATCTTGCCAGGATAGAGTGACGAGACCATCCAGTTTCCGCTGATACTCGTCGGCGACAGTGGTATGATGTAGTCTGACCGCAAGAATCTGGTCGACATTGTTGTCCACCATGCAGTTGAGCACACCGTAGGATATTTTCCCCTGGCCTTTGAGAATAGGGAGAGTAACACGCAGACCGCGGGTCGTCATCTCAGTGCTTGAATTGCTTCTTTCATAGAAATCCATAGCCTGGGTTGAGATCCACCAGACAAAGTCATCAGGGCACCGGGCCAACACCCCTTGAAGCGCACCTCGGTCACAGCACATGCTATGATCGTCGTCGAGGGGATTTACCGGCCTTGGCTTGCCCTCGCCCTTCCATGTCCATGATGACATGGAGTTGTCGCAAGGCTGTTTCATCATCTTGATCTGCTGCCTCTTCAAAGCTCCTTTCTCCTTGACCTTCCTTGTCAATTCGAGTGTTAAACCGTTGATTGGCTGCTCTACAACCTCTATGATCATGTTTGTTATCTTGATTGTCTCGAAAGCCCTTCCCTTCAAGCTCTTCTCCATCCATGCGAGTATCGAATCATCGGAAGACTGCTTCATAATCTCGATTTGTAGCCTCTCAAAAGCCCTTTCCCCCTCGCCATAGAGTAGTGGCATGTTTATATCAAATATCCCAAGAAGAGAGTATGCTCTATCCTCTACCCTCGTCGTCTGTCGCCGAGCAGCCCATGACATCCGCATGGCGATCTTTGCGGAGCGAATGGCGGAGGAGACATTATTCTTTTCGAGGAATTTGGCTGGTATACTGGTGATGGGCTCAACTTTGGGCGCCAGTGAAGAACGAGTGCCAAGTTCCTTCCAAGCAGCATCGAAGAACACGACTATTCGGGGTGCGAGAAGCTCCTGCAACGTCCAACCTCTAGTGAACCACCGACTGTTACTAAATTGGCTGTCGAAGCTGCTCGGATCATCGCCTGTCTCGACATCTTCGAGGTAGACATAGCAGATCTGAGAGTCTTCGTACCACCGATACATGGAGTTGATAGCCTCGGAGAGTTCTGCACTGCTCGTCTTGTCGATGCAGCAAGTATCAACCCACACCCATTGAAAGCCCATTCGAGCCGCCAGGCAGCAGAGACCGTCGATCTTGACGTAGCCTCGTTTCCTGGTGTGGTCAGGACGGTCGAGGTCTTGGAAGGTAACCTCGTCGTCACCCCAGGTGTGTGATAGGATCACATAACGTGGCACCTTGACGAAGAACTCTTGCAGCTTTCTCGTTCCGACGTTCAGGAGTCGCATGTCGTCACAGATATATGTGATGATACTAATGTTGATTTAAAAGTTGATGTACGAGTTGATGGAGGAATGCGTACTCACAGAGAGTTGCGTGTTGGCAGAGACTGGCCACGACACGAGCCTGTTCATCTAGCCGCCGATGATCCCAGGTTGGACCAACCCCGCGTGAGATCATGCAGCTAGCCCAGCCTCAGGGGCTGCAGCGAGCAAGCCTTGTTGGTTGCCTGCATATTTGTGGACCAATGAGCACTTCCAACGCGGCAGTCGTCGGGTTCAAGTCAGTAGAATGATAGGTAAGAAGGCTGGCCAAGTTAGATTTCTGGCTCAAACGACTTGATTGATGTTCATTTGTAGAGTCGTCATGGGCTTTGGTAGTCGTGTGAAAAGTTTAGTCATTCCGTGTAAGATAGAGGAAGTTGCTTTTCCCTCGAGGGAGGTACTAGGTTTCTGAGGGAAGGATAGACGGAGGGATGTTGTCACATGGTGGGGTGGCAAGGCGGGGCATTCTGTGTACTCCAGGTACCATGCACACGCGCACTGTACTAACACTGTATACAGACGTCAAGCTCCAAGCTCATCAACGACATCGCATAGCTCTTCACAACGCCTCATTCTCATCCATATAACTTACAACGGAAAGACAAGATGAAGAAGACGTTACTCATAGTTTTCATCCATGGATTCAAGGCACGTGATTCCATGCTCATTCAATGACTGCCGATTCCTAACGTTCCGCACAGGGAGGTGACGACACCTTTGGCGACAAGGAAGGCTTCACAGCACAGCTCCGCGCAGACCTCGCCGCCCTCCTCCCAAAGATCAACGTAAACGTCCTCGTCTATCCCAAATATGAGACGCGCGGCGACCTAGGAGACTGCGTGAGCCGCTTCCGCGACTGGTAATCCTCCATTTCCACCACGGCCGAGACAGCTCATCCGCTGACGCCCCACCAGGCTCCTAGAGAAAGTAATCGACCTAGAAGTCGCAAACAACACCCCCTCGCCAACAGTAGACCCCTCCGTCCGCGTCGTCCTAGCAGGCCACTCCATGGGCGGCATCGTCGCCGCCGAGACCGTCATAGGCCTCACCTCGGAAAAGCCAATCTACTCGGAAGACGGCGTCGAAAAGGCGGCAGACTCGTCCACCGCCACCTTCAACAGCCTCATGTTCCCCTACATCCAGGGCGTCATCGCCTTCGACACGCCATACCTGGGAATCTCCCCCGGCGTTGTCGCCCACGGCGCAGAGGGCCACTACAACACCGCCAACGCCGCCATGACGCAGCTCAGCGGACTGGGGACGGCGCTCTGGGGCGCGAAACAGGCTACTTCTTCATCTTCACGAAACAAGGCCCCCGTCGCTGCACTGCCTGCTCCTCCGGCAAACTCGTCACAGCAAGGCGGTGGATGGGGCTGGGGCAAGATCGCAATGGTAGCAGGCTCCGCCGCCGCCGTGGCAGCGAGCGCGGGAGCGGCGTATTACAACCGCGAACACATCACCCAGGGCCTGACGTGGGCGACGTCGCACCTCGAGTTCGTCGGGTGTCTCGCAAAGGGCGCGGAACTGCAGAAGAGGGTGCAGTACATGGTCAAGCTCAACCGCGAGCTCGACGTCGGCTTCGCGAATTTGTACACCCGCCTCGGTAAAGCCGCCGGCTCCAAGGAGGTCAGCGTTGTCGGCACGGTGCTGGGTCGGGACCGGACGTTTTGTAACCTGCCGAAGCGGGATAATGGTGGGACATGGAAGCAGGCTGTGAATGATGTCGCTACGGAGGAGACGCAGGCGCATATGAGTGAGTCTACCCCCCTTTTCGCAGTTACCCAAATTGCTCAACGTTATGGACGTAAGTTTTGGTTTTTGCTGACTGGAAGGCTAGACATGTTTGAACCAAAGATGAACCCGGGGTACGACAGACTCAAGGAAGACGCAGCAACTCTCATCGCCCAGTGGACGCGAAACGAATGGTACGAGTCCAGCGAGGAAGACAAGCTCGCCATCAAGGAAGCGGGCGAGAGCGCTACCGCTTGAGACCGTAGACTGTGATGTTTGCTTTTGTTTCTTTATCATTACGGCTGCTGGAGCAAGGCCGCATTCTTGTAGATGCCCATCCTCTTTTTCTCATTTTTGTCTATAACCATACCCCCGACCATTATATAGTCCTTATACCCCACCTAAATTTTGGATTCTCATCTTCCCCCTTCTTTCAGTTGAAGAATTACTGCGTCTTGGAGCGGCCGGCCTCCTCGGCCTTCAAGTTGCGCATAACCTTGCTTCTCTGCTTCATCATATACGTGTACAGAATGTACGATCCTATTTCCCATTTGTCAGCACTTCTTCCTCACGATCACAGACATCAAATGGGGGGTGCGAAGACCAGAAACGGGGAAACATACCAGGAACATAAACAGCAAGAATAGCATACGAAACCCACGGCACCATCTCCCCAAACTGCCTAGCCGGCGTCGCAGCGTAGTAAATCAGCACGCACTCGCTCGTGATACCAATAGGGTACAGCACGAAGAACGTGTTATAGCGCAGCCACGTCAAGAACTTGGGCTGGAACCCGCTGAGGGTGAGCGCGAAATACGAGTAGCGGATCACCTCGGTGACGCTCCAGGCGAGCAGCATGGACGAGTACCAGGGGCTGCGGGCGAGGTAGGGGAAGGGGTAGACGACGCCCCAGACGAGGACGAAGCGGGATAGGACTTGCATCACGGTCGTGAAGACGGGGGCGCGGACGACGCCTGTGTGGAACTTGTGATTAGCTTTCGTTCCCTTGGGTTCATTACTTCTTCGACTCTGCCACCTCGGGGTTGAGGGGAGGAGAACGGATAAAAGGGAGTGTAAGGGGGATCCAAACGAACCGAGCAATGCGTGCAGAACCTCCATGGCAGCCATAGTCTGCGTCCACCGCGTCCAGTCGCCGACGCCGAGATGAACGAAATGCGGCCCGCGGAGCGCAAAGAGCGCGACGGTGCGGCCGAGGACGGTGGCCCAGGCGACGGCGGAGACGAAGTTGTAGGCGATGAGGTAGCCGTTCTTGAGGGGGGAGGATTGCCGCCTCTGCGGCTTGGCAGCTGCTGTTGCCGTGTCTGCCATTGTTCTTTGCGATTGGGGTGGTGGTTCGAGCTTCGTTTGGAGATTTCGGGGAGTGCGATGCGCGGAGAGCTTCGATCGTTGTGTCAGGTACCCGGTGGTGGTGATGATGACAAGATGGGTGTTTTTGCAGATGCAAAGCTTCTGGGAAAGATTGTTGAGGGAGGTTGAGCTGCAAGCCAAGGGTCCATCCCAATTGTCCCACATCCAATTGGGACCGAGGCATGTGGCATCCTCTGGCTGCCCATGGGTGGCATGGCATGGCGCATGGATCCTGGGGGTGTCCCACTGTACAAGGCACGCCGCGGCGCGCGTTGGTGCTCGTTTACAGGGGTCGAGCTCTGAATGCTTGATCCGACCCCTCGAACCCAAAGCTCGTAGCTGACTTTGGTACCCAAATACAACTTCATATGGCACAGATATTGCAGTGATCATAAACCGAGTAAGCTTGAAAATGTATATCATTGTACGATACTGAATAGACAAATCCCATGTTTGAACCCCGTTGCTATGCTGGCATAAATCAGATGCAAACGCCACCCGTCTCGTCTCGACGGTGAATCCCAATCACGCCCACAGCTGGTAAAACATGGCCGACATCAAGGCCACGGGCACCCAGAAAGCCATGGCACTCGACTGTCCCAGAAGCTGCCCGGGCGCCGTACCGTTGTGCAGCATCACCGCTGCGCCAATCGTGTTGGACGAATCGATGCTGCACACGATCTGGCACTTGCCCTCGCCGCGGCGGCGGTCCAGCTGACCTCTGGGACCGAGACCGGCTTGGTGAAAGCTGTTATCGAGGACGTCACGCTTCGAAGACGATTCCGTCGAGTTGAAGACCATCTCGATCCACTGGATCTGCATGACGGCCGAGTGCCCGACTTCCATTACGCCAGACCACGACCCGCCATCGCTCCACGAGTTGAGCATGACGCGGCTGGGGTCGCGGGGCACCTGAAAGGAGATGCTCGACACCTCGGACCCGTCGACGAGCCAGGTGCTGTCCTTTGCGTCCCAGTCCAGGCGGTGGACGGCCCAGTCGCGCCACGAAGTGCCCTTGGGCATGGTGCCGTTCTGCGTTGACTTGTCGATCGTGTTGCCGCTCGAGTCGAACGACGGCTGGTTGGTGTACTGGATGCGGTCGTCCGGGTCCTTGGTGAGCACCTCAATGTCGGCCTCCTGCACGTTGGCGTACTTGTCGGCCTCGCGGTAGGTGAAGAGTGCGGTGCAGGCGCCCGGGTCGCCGAGGGTGCGGGCGAGCATGCGGACCGAGACGAAGTGGTAGCCCATGGAGACGGACTCCATCTCGGCCGAGGACTGGAAGTCTTCGAAGCGGACGGTGCGCATGCTCATAAAGGTGTCCGAGGTGGCGTCCTTGTCGTTGTTCTTCTCAATGTAAATGTTGTTGGGCGAGTTGACCATGTTCACCGTGGCGTCGTTGCCGTCTTTGCCCTTGCGATCCGTGTTGTTCCAGTTCTGGATACCCCATATCGCGTTCCATGCGTCTGTGTTGAAGTAGTCAGATGTTGTGTTTGCGTTGGCGCTCGCATCCCAGTCCGTGAGGGCATCTGGGACCCCTGCGTATTGGCCGAGGTTGCGGAAGTCGAAGAACAGGTGGTTGCTGAAGTAGCTCTCTGATGTGTTGGTCAAGTAGCAGTCGCATACTGAATCGGCGACGTAGGGGTGGTCATCAGCCACAACCAACGGCAACAGCGTGAGAGCAAGGCTCACGAGAGGTGCCCGTCTGAAAGACATGATTCCGCTGCTGCTGCTTGTTGCTTGTCCGTGTGTGGCTTGGCGGTTGGGCTTGCGGCTCTGTCAGAAGTGCTGCAATCGAGAGTCTGGGGAAGCAGATGCAGAAGCAGGCGGGATATGGGATGAGTTTATTAAAGAGTGATCGACAAAATCGTCCGAGTGGTTGTCTTGACCCCGTGGGCCGTAGTCAAAGGCGACGTCGCTTTGGAGGTTGTCCCCTGCCACGGTGCACCGGAATGTGAGACGGGATCGTGCGTGCGCAAGTGCTTCTTTTTCCCTTCCGGATGCTCATCCAGCCACTAGATGGCCAGGCCCTCGCCTCACCCGAGAGATGGCAGCCCCCGGATCGAGGATCCTAAAAGGTGGAGTGAGAGATAGGTAGTTAGGGAACGTGGATCAGAACCTAATTCAAATTGTCAAAGGTAAAGAGCAAAGCGACCGATCATTCACGGAAACGGCGACGGGTTCTCCTGACGATGCTAGCGGCGCCACTGCGCACCATTAGCCAAGACCGCCAGAGATTTGGGAAAAAACGTCCTGGGAAAGTTCGAGTCCATCATCTGCAGGGATTGCGACGGCGGCGCAGGTTTGAGGTAGCACAGAGACTCCGTACTTAGTCTGTAGGCACCTAGGTATCATCGGGGGCGGCCTCCCCCCATGGACAGGACAATAAAGCTGGAGAGACGATCCCTTCGTCAGGGACTGCGCGGGAAGGCTAGGTGACGGTGATGATCTGAGAAGCAACTTGACCCAAAACGGGTGATTTTGGGTTGGGTAATGACACCCCAACCTGTCCGGATGCGGCGGCCATCCATTCGCTCTTGGTTTCTGTTGTCGTTAGCGTCGTTGGTTAAGGCGATGGCTGTGACCGCTCTACCTAGACTTCTAGGCAAGCGGGTAGACGGCGATGGCACCGCGACGGCGGCGGCCTATCATGGTCATGGCTCGAGCTTGTGTGTGTGCTATTTGTGGCCATAAAGAAAACCCCAAACCAAACCAAAGGAGGCCTGCTGTGGACCGTGGTTAGGTGGGTTGCCCGCTCATTGCCCTGGGATATTGCGTTGGCGCGCCGAGTGGTGGTCGGATGGTTTCGTGGAATACGATGTTTCTTCGTAGCTAACATAGGGCCGATGTTGTATCTGGAGGGAGGATGGAAACATGAAATGAAAGGAACTACGGAGTAGCGCTCTGCGTTTTACCCCGTGAGGTCAGTGCGAATACAACCTCGAGGATCTTGCTTCCCTGTAAGGCAGACTAGGTACCTACCTTGGACGTGCATTACATAACCGGGAACATGTGAAGGCGTCCCACACACTACCTACCTTATAGCCCTATCAAATGTTGTTCCTCGTTACCCTGGTCACATCAACCCGCGGGCTGCGAGGTACAGGGCTGAACTGAACCCTCAAGCTCATTCTGGATTCTCATCGCGGTAGATGCCGTGCCTAGAACTGAGGCATGTGGCCGCTAAACACTAGACTCGGTGACTCTATATCCTCTCAGATCTCAAATCCTCATCACAAGACACGGTTAGTCTACTCAAGTTCCCTAGGCTAACATGTTCAAAATGAGCCAGTGTATTCATAGCAGGTGATAATGTCGAGCAAAAGTGACACTGAAACAAGACCTGCCATTTGCCAGTTGTGGCCGCCTGTGTATTGCATACTAATTACACCCACATCGTGGGGAAGATATAGAGTCTCGATGGCTCGTCATTACAGCATGTGCGTCATGAAAATTCAAATCATCAAACAGAACCGGTCCTTCCTCAAGAGACCTCCCATAGCATGCACATCAAGAGGCAAGGGAAATGGTAGTAAGGAAAGCCCTCATCCCACACCTCAGATGACACCTTGAGTAAACTCATCCAAGATGGTCATCTCTTCAAAGTTCTCAATCAAGCGATCAACCCTCGCCGCCTCGCGGTCCGTCACGGCAAGATCGAGATCAGTCACAAACATGCCAGTCGCCCGGCCGCCCGCCCTGGGTCCCTTGCGAGCTCTGAGGTCTTCCAGCAGCCCTAGAGCTTCCGTCATGTCCATGCCCCCTTTCCTGACGACCATGGAAAGGAGACCCCCGGCAATCACTTCGGCAACGGTAAAGGAACTGTATAGGGCTTGATAGGCGCGGATGCAGCTGAGAAAGTAGGGTCGCCACTCTGGATTCGTTATGTCGCTAGCTACGGCGTTGGCTACATGGATGAGAGCAGTGTGCCCGAAGATGCTGTACGTCGATTCCGGGTACAACGCGTAAACTTCGACGAGGTCTTTGAGCTGCTCGACGGAGGCCGCAAAAAAGGCAGGTATCTGGTCGGCTGACGGTGACCAGCATTTGAAGCCATGCTGTTTGTCGCTTGGGATGAACGGCCTGAAGAGGTAGAGCACAGTTCCGTGGAACCACATGCTGTGAAGGTTGTTAATTCGCACGCCGTGCACTGACGGGACAAAAGGAAAAGGTTAACTTACTGGCAGGTAAGCACATGAGATGGGCTGTGCTCGTCACGCTCCATACTTTCAGACAAATTGTCTGCCCAAGACAGTAGTTTGCTGTACTTCTCCAGTGCAAAAGCCTGGGATGAATGGCCTGGACTAGTATCGTGCTGATAAACCCAAGTGATTTGAGAGGAAATGACCCATAATTCGCAAAAGGCGGCGAAAGTGTCTGATATGGCAGGAGATCGCCGTCTCTTGGTGCGATTTCGAGACTGGGAGCGAGCATCCGAGTCTGACGAGGGCGCTGTACTATTCGCGCTGCTGTTACGCTCGTGCTCAGACCCGGGTGTTGAGTTCCCTAGCCTAGCTCTGCCTGGAATGGGAAGAGTCGGGGGGTACTCAGTAGTCGCTGGTAAACAGAACTGGGCTATCATACTGCGCTCTTCGTCAGCTATGCTTACTTGGACTTGGGGACTCTTTGAAATGGCCTTACCTCAGAGTGTTGAAAACTCCCCAGGCAACTTGAGCTGATGCCCTCGCCTGTGGTTCCGAGAGACGATTTAGGTCTACAAAGGTATATGCATCGGGACACCCAAAGAGTCTCAGACGTTTCGCCATGGCTACTGTATCTTTGACGAACTTGACATTGAGTTCACCATTGCCATTGCAGCCGCTGGACTGAATCAAGAAGGTCAAAGCTGCAATGGTAGGCAGGGTATCATCGTTTTGCGCATGCCAGAGCTTATTTGACTCGTCTTCCAGCTCTTGACTCCATCGAGACGCTTCAGGTTGCTTTGCCGCATACGCTTGCTGGTAAAGACAATCAATGACATTAATCAAGAGAAGGGGGGTAGGGGGGGATAGGGGATAACTGACACAAGCGAAAGCAAGCAGAGCATTGACGAGCAGTGAAGAGCAGTACCGAACTTCACCGGAGACCAAGTCGTCCAGGAACAGATCAGCATCGAACAAGCCCAATATCGGATGATCTGTTTCAAGATATAGGGAGATGACTTCTGCTGCGTCCTGATTACTGATGGGCACTACGGTCCAGAAGGCGATGTTCAAATCTTTCAGGCGAGGCTCGTTGCGAATGCGCGGTGTCGGCGGAGGAATAGGGCCCATTAGTGGAACAAAGAAGGCCGAGTTAAATGCTCGAGAAGGCCTAGGAGAGGCTGTAGAGGGATCATCTTCCAGGACTTCAGCCACAGTAGCGTATTCTGGTGCTCGACGGTCCTCGAGAATTGAACCCTCTTCGGATGCGTCCTCAACCCGAGCGAGTTTGGAAGGCCTAGAGTCGACATCCTCGGGCATCTCGAGACGACCTAATCTCCGAGTTTGGGGATACAAGATGGGATGGCGTCGCGTGAGTTCAAACTCGACATTGGACGAGATATGAGGTAGGATCTCCCGGGCATCTCTTGGCCCCGACGGTCTTATGGCGCGAAGAGCAGCGTAAGGGTCGACGGCGAACTTGAGCTTCTTCAATGTCTGGTGGGCAACATCATCCGGCATAGCCGTGAGCTGGCTCAACATTTCTCGAAGCATTTGATTTTCCCTCTTTAAAGCCATAGCGGCTGTCTCCGTCTCATTAGCACTGATATAGACACATTGTGTCTTCAGCTCTGTACACGCCTTGCACGAAGGGCGTTTACCGTCACACTTGAGTGAGGATGTCAGCGCTTGAAACGAGTCAAGAGGACCTGCCATAGTACCAAGATAAGAGATCCGTGCTTACTGCTTTTTTCTTGGACCGACAAGCGTTACAAGCAACCTTGGTACTCGGTAGACGCTTCTTGACTGATGATTGAGCTGGAAGGAAGCGTGCTGGAGGAAGAGGAGGAGGAGGAGCAGGCTGCGAGGATTTTGGTGCCGGGAGTAGAGGCCGCAACGGCTGGGGCTTGACCTGGTCAGACATGACAGCCAACGGCCTCGCAGCTAGTGCGGCCGGACTGGTGCCACGAGGAGCTACCTAGGTAGGCTTGGGGCTGTGACTTTGCGAGGAGATGTCGTCGTAGATGTTGTATAAGGGCTGTAGGTAGAGAGAGGTCATGGGAAGGCTGTTTCGTCCAGGGTCGTATAACGAGACTGACCGCTCGCGACGAAAGAAAAGTGAGGGGTATTGGGCATACAGACGAGAGGCAAAGACAGCATAATAACCGATCGAGAAGCTGGTGAGCGGCAGGCAGAGGAGAACAAACAATCGTCCCAATGGGGAGAGCAAGGCAGCACGTGAATACGATGGCTTGCAGAAGACGTCGACATTGGCTCTCGGTTCCAACAAGACTTCGATGCGGCGCCCAGTGAGGATTGTGGATGTCGTCTGGAATAGTGCGATGAGGGTGTGGAAGGCTGGCTGACAACCAATGCGGTGAGATGGATGGTATGCAGGTATTCGAAAGGAGCCGAGACAGAGGTTGGCCAAGCTGCAGAGACCTTTCTCTCGCTCTTTTCTCTCTTTTTTTTTGGAAGAAGAGAAGAGGAAACAACCTAACGGGTGAGGTGGGATAGATAGATGGGGAGAGATGATGGGGGGGGGGGGGGGGCCAGAGGGGGAAGAGAAAAGGCGACGGCAAGAAAGAGAGAATAGAGTAAACAAGAGCCTACGAGAATGCAGAGTCGTGTACCTATTTCGCAAACTGCCTCCTCCTAGGTCTTCTTCCTTCTCCTCCGACAAGCTACCTTAGGGTAAGGTAATCAAACCGAATCGTGGTCCGGATCTGCCTCCGTTGTTCAATCTGCCGTCCAGTCAGATGGTCTGGAAGGGCCTATTTAACTGGGGATATCTCAACGTGCTGCTGGCCCTGCCGCCCTGCCGCCCTGCTGCACTGTGGCGGCCACTTCCCGTCCAGTCTCTTCTCGATCCAATTGCGCCAGAACTTGCAGCACTTGCAGTCCCCAATCTTTGGACAGACTCCTCCTCAGTGCAGTGTCACGCAGTGCTTTGCAGTGTCCCGCAGTGCTACGCCGTGAGGGAATGGAAGGTGGTGGTCAATCCGGTACGTACCTTTCAGTTCTTTCCATGGCAGGAACTGAACGCTTCCATTCTGGGCCGGGGGCTTCCGCTTGAAGAAGCAAACAAAACCCCCACTCCACACAGTAATCCAACTTAGTCAGCATGCCTTGACCAGCGACACACACAGTGTGACCACGGATACCCCGGCGCAGGTCACCCGCCTGCCTGTCACTCGCCGTGCCGTCATTTTGCATCTTCCTTGTCTCTACCAAATTTCAGGTGGACAACTGCACTGCACTGTTCTCTTCTGAGCACAGTCAAACTTGCGACTCTAACCGTACCTTTTCCAGCTTTCTCTTTCTTTGCTACTTCAACTCCACCCAAAGCGTGGTTCAACATCACCATTCTTCCCATTCAAGAAATGAAGCTCCTGCTGCGTCGATATTCTATCATTACCCGGTGACAAGCACTCTCTAATCGCCCACGAGTACACGCGACAAGACAACCTATCCGACTCACACCACTTCATTAAACCCTGCATTCCGACTTTGAAACCATGGCGTCAGACTCTCCCCAAGCCGCCTCCCCGCGCAAGGCTGAGCCGGAACAAAGCACATCGGCCGATGATGCCTCCGACCTCAAGCAAGAGCCCACCGAGAACGAGAACGACTCGAAATCGACTTCACCCAAGGGCGATAACGACGACAACTCAAAACGAGACTCGAGCTCCCCAGAGTCCGGCGAGGCCAGCTCAATTGGCTCTCCCGCTCCTGCCGATGCTCGCGACGACAATCCTACCTCTTCCACCGATGCGCCACCCCTCCCCAACGAGGCGCCACCCCTACCCGCCGGAGTTCCTCCAGCGACACAAGACGACGGCTGGGACTTCCAGTGGGATCCGACAGCCCAGGCGTACTACTTCTACAACCGCATCACGGGCGCGTCGCAATGGGACAACCCTCGCATACCTACGGCCGGCGGCGCAACACCAGCAGCAGCACCAGGAGCACCAGGCACAACCGCCTCCGCAACCGCGACTCTCTCAGGTCCTCCTCCCCTCCCAAAGAACGACGCTCCCCCGGCCGGCGGCTACAACCCAGCCATCCACGGCGACTACGACCCGAACGCGTGGTACGCAAAGGGTAGCGCAGCCGACGAGGACGAAACAGCCCAGACGTCCGCCTCTGCGATCAACGGCGGCGAGTACGGCGCGATGGCGCAATTCAACCGCTTCACTGGCCAGTTCCAGACGTTGGACGACGGCCCCGACCGCCACACGGACGAGGCCAAGAGCCGGCGACAGATGAATGCCTTTTTTGACGTCGATGCCGCGGCCAACTCGCACAACGGAAGGAGTCTCAAGGCGGAGCGGAGCGGCAAGAAGCCCAGCAAGTCTGAGCTCAAGCAGTTCAAGGAGAAGCGAAGGGCCAAGAAGGAGGAGAAGCGGAGGGCTTGGCTGCGGGATTGAGGTATGAGGCGTGGGACATTCTTTTCTTTTTTTTCTGGACTCTTTGGTCCTGATTTTTGCTGTTTTCAAAATGGGTCGCCGTCGCGATCGCGACGTCTGGGAGAGGGGGCAAATATTCTTCATTCCGTGGCGTTTTGAAAGAAGGGGCCATCATCGGCGGGAAACGGGCAGAGAGGGAGACTTGGACTTCTCCTGATTGCCAACACGTCCCTCCGGCCTGTCATGGGATGGGGCTGGGCCAAACATACACTTTTATACAAAAAGACTCAACAGAATAAGTCGGGCTTCAATGGCCTTGGATACTGGACCTTTTCACAAACAGTATCATGTACAAAATACCGGGCCTCGACCTGCGAAAACGTCGATAGGCCTTTACTACAGCAAATCAAAACAAAAAGACAAATACCCAGATTACTCGAATTTTTTGTTCCATTCACCCAGAGAATTGTTCGTCTCCAGTGGGGGTATTATGTCCATCTAAATTGACAACAATATGAATCCTTTTTCTTGTCTTGTCCCCTGTCTCATTCATCCTCCTCCTCCTCTTCATCATCGTCCAGGTCCATGTTGAGGTGCACGCTTTCATCGTCGCTGTCGTCATCCGCTTCCTCGGCCGGCTTGGCGGCCACTGATTCCGGCGCCGCAGCAGCCACAATCGTCTTTTCGACCTCCTTTCTCTCCACGCTCTGTCTCTTGGGCGGGCTCGGGGCGCCCGCGCCCTCGTCTTGGAGCTTGCGCTTCTGCGCCGAGGTGACGGCGAAAGGGTTGACGACCTCGGTCTTGTTGGACGTGACGATGTCGCTGTCCTCGTCACCCGCAACGACAATGGTGCTGGCGGTAACGGTGGCATCCTTCATCTCTGCATCCTGCGCGTCGCCTGCGACCTGGATCTCGGCGAGAATCTCCTCGTCCTCGGCGTCCTTGGCTTCCTCCTCGGCTTCAAGCTCCTCGAGCGTGGCGGTGATGCCCTCGAGCGCGTCTGCGGGTGGTTGCGCGGGGGAGGTGCGGATGTTGGAGCGGAGGATCTCGACGCCTTGGTCGCGGGGGTACTGCTGCGCGAGGTAGGGCAGGATGCTGGGGAACATGGCGCCGCCCTGGTTGGTGTAGGGGTTCAGGACGCTGGCGAGCATGGCGGCCTTGTTGCGCGACAGGATGGCCGTCTGGTCGAGGAGGCCGCGGAGGCCCGGCTTGAGGTGTTGCTGGGGTAGGTGGGACAAGAGGCTGGCGAGGAGGGCATCAGCGGCGGCGATGTGGTCCTTTGCGATGAGGGTTTGTTTTGAGGACGAGGTGGTCGCGTCTGCGGCGTTGGCTTGCGTGGGGAGGAAGAGATCTGCGTTGGCGGCGATGGTGTTCTTCTTGGTGTCTGCTGCGGTCTTGTTGTTGGTTGCCGGCTTGACTTTTTGGATGTGGCCTGATTCTTGCTGGATATCTCTGCAGCAGGCGAGGGAGACGATGCCGAGGGTCTCGACGGTGAGCTTTTGCAGGCCCGGGCCGGCAATGGGGAGAGTCTCGTTGAGGAGCTTGTATGTCGCAGCGCGAACGGCGGGGATGTCGATGCCGGAGCGGAAGACGAGGATCATGTTGTCGTGTATCTCTGGGATGGTCGAAAGCGCGTTGTGTTCTAGCCTTTGCACCAGGACCAAGAGTAGTTCCAGAGCGGCGACGTGTATGTCGGGCATCGCGGCCCACAGCTCCTCCTTTTCTTCCCTTCCGACGGCAGCCTGTGTCTCGAGCGCCTGGTCCCAAGCTTGAGACTTGGAGTTACGGCTAATCAATGATACACGCGAGACCATATCCATGAGAGCCGCAATCGGAATCGTGACGGGAGTCTTGGTCGAGTAGCGGAGGGCGTCTGCCATGTATTGGAGCAAGCCAACGAGTCTGTCACGGCCAGCAGAAATTCCGGTCCAGTTGGGGAGCTGATCCCCCGTCTCCAAACCCTGCGGCGGAATATCAAAGTCCACCTTGGAGCGGGTGTACGCCGCCGAGGCTTCCCATGATTCCTGCACGGCGCGGAAGACCTGGTCAGCGGTAAAGTGGAAGTCCTTGCGCAGCTCGTCTACCAGCTTGGCCCAATCGTCGCTGGGTCCCGTCTTGCCTGCCGTGGTGAGTGGTAGAGAGATGGCCAGATGTCTGCTTGCCCGGCGGAGAGACTGGGGGATCGTGGCTCCATCGGAAGAGGTGGGCGCCAAGTAGGGCTTGATGGCCGTTCTGATCTGGCCGTTGAAGGGGCGGCAGGTCGTCGGATACAGGGGAATCATGGCGGAGAAGGCGTCCAGAACAGTCTCAACGACAGCGAGCGGCGTCTTGAGGCGCTGGCCTGGGCTTGGGAGCTTGATCATCTGAAGACATGCGTTGAAGAAGGTCGGAATCGTAGGCGTGGCGATTTCTCTGGTGAGAGTTTGGTAGCTGTTGATGAGACTGTAAATGCGCACGAGGGTGACAATGGCAATCTCCTTGACCGGGAATGGGTCGCTCTTCTACAATGCAGTGT